AAGCAGCACCCACCTTCCGTGTCACAACTCCAAACTGCACTCGACATCTGTGACACTCCTCAGCATCCACCCAGTCCGGAGCCTGTCGGGGTTACAGAAACTTGTGTAAGGAGGGGAGGAGAGCGTTTCCACTGAGCCTTTCAGCAGCTCCTAAAGCTAACTACGGCACTATCACGAACGGAGGAAGCATTTTCAGTTGGAAAGCTGGGAGCATTTCATAGAGTTATAGAATGTGTTGGGTTGGAAGGGACCTTTAAAGGTCATCCAGACCAACCCCCTCCAGTTAGCAGGGACATCTTTAACCAGATCAGATTGCTCAGAGCCTCATCAAGCCTGACCTTGAATGTTTCCAGGGATGGGGCCTCCACCACCTCTCTGGTCTTAACATAGAGGTGGTGGAAGCCCTTAAATTACATCTTAACAGGGACTATTAATCCCCAAAAGCTATTTTCTCTTGTGTTCCCAGAGACTGCGATGCTTTCCCAGTCAGCAAGAGATTTTCCAGGGACATATCTGCACAGCAATCGCTTCAGCAATGCCCTGCTGCCGTGTTCAGGCTGCCATGCTGCTGGAAGGCCACTGAGAAGGGTAAGATGAGACTAACTCCCTGTCCTGGTCAATTCTGTCACTGCCAGCGTGACAGCCGGGAGCAGAATGTACCCAGCAAGGTCTCTGATTGCACAAAACAGAGGAATGCAAGAACTGGAGGTTTGGTAGGAAGGGGACAGGAGAGCAAGGTCTGTCCTGTAGTGCCTGCCCCCTCACAGAATGATATGGGGTTGGAAGGGACCTCTGGAGATCATCTAGTCCAACCCCCTGCCAAAGCAGGTCCACCCAGAGCAGGTTGCACAGGGACGTATCCAGGCAGAATTGGAATGTCTCCAGAGACGGAGACTCCACCACCTCTCTGGGCAACCTATTCCAGGGCCCTGCCACCCTCAAAGTGAAGAAGTTCCTCCTCATGTTCAGACAGAAATTCCCATGGTCAAGGTTATGCCCGCTACCTCTTTTCCTGTCACTGGGCACCACTGAAAAAAGACTGGCCCCTTCCTCTTGACGCCCACCCATTAAGTATTTATAGGTGTTGATCAGATCCCCCCTCAGCCTTCTCCTCTCCAGACTAAAAAGACCCAAGTCCCTCAGCCTTTCACCCCAGCAGATCTCACCCTTTCTGCAGCGAACATGGCATCGCTCTCCTTGAACTCCGGGAATACATGACCTGTGGGAGAAGCGACAGTGTCCCATGGTGAGAGGGCTCCTGCAAGGCTCCTCCAGAGCAGAGCTGCTTGGCAAATTCTCCACCCACCTTCCCCCACAGAGTCCTCACCTTCAACCTTCATTATCTGATAGGTGTCCTGCACCACCTTGTACTTGGGCTCATTTCGGAAGGCGTGAGCCCAGGCCTGGATAAGGTACAGGATCTTACTGCGGACACTTGTCTCTACTTGCCTCTGCACAGAAAGGGAGGAGAAAAAATAAAAATAAAAATCTAAGACCCTGAAACCCAAAGGATGGTGTGAATTCCCCAGAAGAGAAGCCAGAAATACCATTAATGGAAAGTGAGAATTTAGAGTACTTGGGCAAGGTGAGAGCTGTCAGCAATAAGGACAATTTACAGCAAGGACCACACACTCCTTCAGCTTCCCTGTTTGCCCCCTCCAGGATGAACAAGAAAACATCCTTCAGAGTAGCACGGACCAACTTGAAAAGCACTGCAGTTACGGTGCTTTGAGAAAACACTGAGACTTGTAGGGCTGTTCCCCGGGGAAGGCACGAGCACTGGCCTGCCCAGTATCTCTCTTCACATCTTTTCTCCTCAAACAAGACCCACAGCTGCCCAGAACACACAGCCCATTGCAACCTGGGGCTGGCAGGGCAGTGCCAGCTCACAGCCAGAGGGTGCCTGGAGTGTGTCGGGCTGTCAGCACCTCCAGCCCCGAGGCTCCTGCCCAGGAATCCCCCAGAGCCACCTCGGGATGCGAGGCAGCACGGACAGCTGGGGAGCCTGCCCTTTGGAGGGAGGCAGGAGCGGTTGTATCACAGTCCGAGGAGCTGGAGGAAACTTGGCAAGCCCGTTCCTATCCCCGCCAGCCTCCCGGAGCAGCCCTGTCATCAGCTGACCGAGTCATCGCGCACTCACATGACCGGTTTCTCCAGAAATCCTCCAGGAAGCAGAGGAGCACTGTCAAGCTCCGATTTCAGCAACAGCTCAGCCCACACAGTGTGACTTACTGACTACTCCTGGAGCTCCAAACTTCTAGATTTGGCAAAATCCCGCATTCCACACATGTCATAGCCCTGAACCTCATCAGAACTAAGGCTCTTTTACCAGCATCGGGCATTGACAAGCAGCAAAGTTCCAAGTGTAGGAGGAGAATGGGTCTGTGGCAGCTAAGAAACCACCGAGGCAGGCAAGGACTGGAGAGAACAACAGAATCTCTCCATCTGATGCCCTCAGAGTGGCTGCACTACCACACCGGGCTGTCACACCACAGCAGTTCCTGTCTCAGCACAAGACCCTGCACCAAGACCGAGTCAGCCCTAACAGGAAGGTGACAGGGGAGAGACACCCTGCTACGGTGTGCGAGACGATGGGACTCACACAGCTCATCCACCAAACACCTGGGTCACCTGAGCATCTATTTCTGGCAGAAGACTGAGGCTGTAAGGAAGGAACAGCACTACTCGAACAAGCTGTTGTCTGCTCTGGGGCTGGGAACTGGAGACAGAAGTTTCCATTTTCACTTTACTTGTGGAAGTCTCCAGTCCAAGGGCGCGCAGAGCTCCTAAAGGGATCACATCCTATCAAACTGGCAAGTGACAGCTTGTGACAACAGCTCGTCAGTGCAATCAGCCAGATTTACATCCTGCAGAGCTCCTCAAACGTTTAATTCCACAGGCCAACAAAATGGTCACAATAAAGAGGAAGCTTCTACCAGGTTTCTCCCTTGCTGCTTTCCCTTCCCATGTGTCCCACACTGTGCTATGGGAAGGGAATTCTCCCCACAGCTGCTCAGGTCCTTGCTGCAACTCCCAGACCATCACCTCTGCTCTCCTTTGCTGTCTCAAGCCAAGCAAAGCGTTGCACCCAGGAGCATTTACCATGATCTAGGGCTCAGTCTAGGCCCTTACAGTGTATTCCCACCCCGCTTCAGGGTGTAGCCAAACATTCCCTTTACTCTTAGGGTATCTCCTCTCCCCAGCAGGCTTTCCTTAGCTCCCCACACTCAGCCCTTCACACCACACAATACAGTTTGCTTTCTTCTAAAACACATTTCCAAACAGTTTCCCTTCTGTTCTTTACACAAAGGGGAAGAAAGACAAGACACGTGCATTTTCCTCTTCTGCTGCTTCTTTTCCAACCTCATTCAAAACCGATAGTAAAATAAGATTTCTTTACCTTGAGTATTTCCTTCAGTTCCTCCATAGTCTGCTTGTTGGCCACCTCATCATGGACTGTTTGGCCACAGTTTTTAACCACTGACTCCATGACCTGTGAGGGCAAAGGACAATAATTGACCCATGCCTTCTCCCTTCTCAGTGGCCCACCATGAGTCCCAGCAGCGTCACAGGTCAGTGCAGCCAGCACACCGGGACAGGGGAAATATTTCAGCAACGAGTTGCTTTAGGGCAGTGTCAGTCAAGGCAGAGAAACCCACAGCATCGTGCTGGGGAGGTAGCCAGGCTTCAGCTGCACAGTGGCCTTCGTACCTCTGCTGTGTGAGACAGACCCTCCCCGGGACAGTGTATCAAGTTCCAGCTCTGTCTGTTTCTATCTCTGAGATGCAATTAAAGAATGACACCCACAACCTGCTGATCAGTCATGAAACCTCTCTGCTAGAGGCAGGAGGAAGCAAAAACTGCCATTCCCAAGGCAGGGAATGCTGTGAGGGCTGCGCAGCCCCAGAGGCCCCTTATAAGAGAGAGGGGCAGTTCTGGGCCCCCATGGTGCTCAGGTTTGGGCTGACATTACCTCCAGTGCGTAGAGCGCCACGTGGGGATTCTTGTCATTGACTTTCTTCTTGATAGCGTTGACAGCGTATTTAGCTCTGAGTAAGGAAAGAGAGTTCAAGTCCTCAGCTGATCAAGAATGTGAGGAGAGATCCCACCTGTTGCTGGTAACCCCCTAACCCCCGCCCTGACACCAGTCACCTCTTGGTCTATGTGATTCCCCCCAAGGCAAACCGGGAAGAGAAGCAATAAGCACACTCAAGCCTGAGTTTCTCTGAGGATTTCGGGCCAGAGGTAACCCATGACTCAGGGAAGTGCCTCCCCACACCAGGGAGTACTGTACTGCCCTTCCAACGCTTCACTGAGAGGGGACAACAAGAGGTGTGCTGCCGCAGGCTGACAGCTCTGAGACCCTCACGCTTTGTTCTGTGGGGACAGGGAGAGCTGTGGGTCCAGCGCATCCAACTTACTGGGTATCCCCCTGACGGATCATGTCGCAGATCTGCAGGATGGATTCCCAGTCCGTCTCCAGCAGGAGCTGGCTCGTAGCTTTATCTGCAAGGAATAAACCCGTCAGGCTGTTTTAACCGGTTCTGCTGATCTCCCCCCGTTCCTCCGCCGCCAGTGCGTTTGCCGGGGAGCTACCGGGGATAAACTCCCCGATTTTCCCCGGAACGCGCCAGCTCTTCCCCTTCACACGCCGCTGGGCAACCCTAGACCCGCCTCACCACCCCCGGTGGTCCCGGCTCGGCCCGCAGCCCCAGGCCCAGCCCGGTCCCCGGGGCCGAGCGCCGCAGACCTCCTCCCGGCCCCCACCAACCCGCCCGCCGCGCCGAGAACAGCCCACGGCCGGTACCGAGGAGCCGCTCGAAGGTGCCTCCGCCGCGCCCCATGGTGTTGTTGTCGTCGTCGTCCCCCCCACCACCACCGCCGCCGCCGGTCTAGTCTGGCCTGGCCTTCCCTGCCCCACCGCCCCTCCGCGGGAGCTTCCGCTGCCGGCTTCCGCTTCCGGCTTCCGGCGGGGGCGGGGGCTCCTTCCGGCCGGGCGGGGCGGATGGCGGGCGCGGGGCGGCCGGTGCCCACGTGCCTGCTGCTGGGGGCGGCGGGCGGCGGCAAAAGCCTGCTGGCCCGGCGGCTGCG